AAAGACTTTCAAACGCAAAGTCTAGTAAATAAGTTTGAATCAAATCTCTTAATATTATTTTTGTCACATATTTACATTTCAAGTGTTTTAAATTTAATGTAAATAATACTTAAGACAAATAATTTTTTTTTAATATTTTCGCTATCATATAGCCAAATATACGTACGTCTTACTAGTCCGTCCGTGAATTCAAGTGGACTAGAGGTGTAAAAGTGAATTGTGAATAGGAATGGAGCTAGGGGAAGACAAAGTTATTTATTTATTTATTTTTGCACTAGGCTGGTATATAGAATAAATTTCGTAAAATTTAAATTTTTACACAACAAAGCGGTTGCCCTGAACTAAAGTCGAAAGCCTAAGTTTGCCCCTATCTACGCCACTAATCGTGTCTGATTCCAGGCAACGGATGAATTCTTGTGTAGATCGAAATTTACTTTTCCAATTATGCCATTCTTTTAAGAAATCATATTTCAACCAATCTTAATTAAGTTTTTAATCAAGATTTACACATAAAGGATAGGTTAAACGACATCCCAATGCATTCTTGTGATCAATATACAAGGAGGTTAAGTCGAACAATCAAACCCCACATTTAAGTCTTCATTAATAGCTAAAAATTATTGGATAAGTGGATTTTAAAAAAAAAAACTCGATTAATCCAACTCATATATCTCGATCAGCAACAATTTCAACAAATATTCGAGGTTATATATATTTTTGCAAATAAAATAAATTAAAAGAAGAATATGAGAGGATATATATAATTACTTACTCCTCATGAGTCATGATTAAAATTATCCTATAAGCAACACACAATTATTTATGTTGTTCTTTTCCAAAGAAACATAACAATAGAAACAAAATATTATTCCAACGACAAAAGAAAGTTACATAATTGGGGGGTTTCGTGTAATACACGTATGTCTTTTGTACAAGCCTTTGGCCTATATTAAAGATAAAATTTATAAATAAAAAAATTATTAACCGCAGAGAAAAATATTTAGCCTATGTTTGTTATTGATTAAAATCAGATTTTAATTTAAGTCAAAGTCAAACAATCAATATTAACCACATATTTCATTAGTCCCCCAATTTTTCAACCATACATTCCATCATTTTTTATCAAAATTTACTAAAAATTTAATTATAATCTCCACCAAATAACGGCTTAACAAAGTATGCTTAGCCAAATGATTTAGAAAAGATAATCTAAAGGATTTACGCCAAAAGGCAATTTAATGGAATCGGAAAGGTCCATCAGGACGGAAGTGGGGTCCTGGTGGAGGTTGGGTGGGGTTGAAGGGCAGTGCTTCCACTCAATCAATTTGAACCGCCGTCCACAATACAAACCGCCGCCCAACTTTTACGGTACAAAATTTGAGACCAACAACATGAAAGATTCCACAATTTGCAATAATATTACTCAACTTCTTGTACTTTTCCAAAAGCAACGTCAACTCGTACGATGGTGTCAAGTCTATCGAATGAATAGTCAATTATTTGATAATCCTATTCCTGAATTTGCACAATATGGTTTCAACTAATTCTATCCATATATCAATCACGTTACAAATACATTCTTATTTACATTAAATTTGACGTCCTAATCTATGACATCAATCATAGTCATTGATTTTTACACTACTCTTTTACATCACTAATTAGATTTTAACACACAGTAGAAAATATCAACAAACATATAGCTTAATTCATCGAATACATATCAACAAACCGTACAACTGTGTTAGAGTCTACAAAATCAACATTTGACGACTTGGTGAGCCATCGGGTATACTACAAAGAATGTTATGACCATTCCAGCACAATATGAAGCAGGGTGCACAGATGAGTAACGTGAAAGAACTTGCCCTTTGGATTGGAACAATAATTGAAAATGGCTACTAATAACACCGTAGGCTGTAGAGTAAAACTAGGAATCCATCCGAAGAAGAACTTGCATCTAATTCACTAGTTGATACAATTTTGTCGATTTAATCGAATAGACACTAGATCATTTAATATATTCTTGAACGTAGAGAACAAGACCTCAACGACCCATAATTGTAAAAGGAAAGCTCACAACTTTATTTATCTTTAAAAATATTGTATCCAAGTCTCATAATCATTCAACTGATATTTCATCTTCATTATTTCATTGAACACGTCGTTAACAATTTCCCGCTTTGCCAAATTATTACAAATATATTCATAAATAAATAAATTTCTCGATGTGTCATCAACAAACAACAGAAGCCCAATTTTCCACTTACTATATACAATAAAATAATTTCTCAAAAACTTATAACTCAATCTCTAAATTGTTCAAAATTGTTGCAACTTGAACAATTGAAACCCTATTTTTCCTAGAATTCCCAACACAAGCCAAAGCAACCCTAGCTAATCTAACAAGAGGATTAATATCACAAGGAATTGCAAGTCTGGGGTCCAAAAATTCACTAAATTTCATCCCTTTTATCAAAGGGATTGCCCATTTCACAAGCGACCCTTGTTTACTTTTTCTACCACTCAAAAGCTCCAACAAAACCACACCAAATCCATAGACATCACTTTCCTTTGAAGCCCCTCTTTTTTCCAACCAATACTCTTCATCCACGTACCCTACAATGCCTTGTCTTTCATGGGCTGCCATGAAATATAGCCCATAATCACTTATCTTGGCACAAAACTTTTCATCAATCAATATATTCGATGGCTTTATGCAACCGTGAATTATAGGTGGCGCCACCACTTCATGCAAGTACTCGATCCCCCGAGCCGTCCCGGCCGCAACCCTCAACCTCCGCTGCCAATCCATAAGCGCCACTCCGTCGGAGTTTTGATGCAAATAGAAATCCAAACTCAACATACCTCCAAATTCCATTACTATAATTCTTTCTCCGGGTGCCTCGGAGAATCCTAGGACAGGTACTAAATGAGGGCTTTCTGCTAAAGAAAGCCATTTTAATATTGAAGAGAATCCAAAACCTGGATTATTCAACACAAGCCATGGATGAATCCTTTTCACCGCCACTATTTCTCCATTAGGCGGCATCACGGCCGCATACACGGTTCCGAGGTGGCCTTTTCCTATGACTCTGCGGTCATTGAACCGTTCCGTGGCGGCGTCGATTTCCATTAAGGAATATGAACATGCAGATCGTTTTGCAGGGAGAGTTTCTTCAGCCTTGAATGGCTTCTTCTTGCAGAAAATCAGTAAGAGGACTACAAGAATTATAAATGATATTGAAAGAAGGGCTAAAACAAGATCATAAATTATAATGATCTGATCATCATATCTCATCTTGTAGACTTTTCCTGTTGCTTTAGAGGAGGGTTTGATCAAGAAATCTGGTGATGAAACAAAATTTTGGGAAACTTGAATTTATGTAATATATGGAGTTGAAACGAGAGAGAAAGGAGTTGGAAAAGGATGGTACCTTGTTGAAGAAAATGTGTACACTTTGACAAAATAAGTCTTGATTGGTAAGAAAAGGTGGAAATATAACACTTAGCATATATATGTGTTAGTTGTAGTTGGGCCATTTAGGTAGGTTTTGGTTCTAATTTGGTAAAAAAAAAAATTGAGAGACTATATACATGTTTTCCATTGTAATTGAGATTTGATTGGAATCTTATATGAAAATCATGCAATTATATTAGGAGAAAAAATAATAAACAAAATTTTCATATATTTTCTTTTATTCTGATCATTAATTTCATTCCACAAATATTAGTTTTCAATTCAATTTTATTTTATTGTTATCTCGACTCTAAGTTTAGCCCCCGTTTGGTGCACATTTTTGGAAAAAGAATGCATTTTTACTGTTAATGTGATGGGGAATATGCGGTTGAAAAAGAAGGAAAATTTATTGATGTGATGAAAAATATTATTTTATTGAAAAATATGTGGTTAAAAATGAGTAGAAAAATGAGAATGAAATAAGTAATGTGGCTCAAATAGGATCTTAATTCATTGTATAATAGATTATTTAGCCCCTATTTGACAACCATTATTCGGAAACTCTTTACTCATTTTTCATCACATATTCACACAATAAAATATTCTGCACGTAAATTCAAAATTTTGCCCTACTTTTTAATCACACGTTTCCTAAAAATCACTATTCAAAATATTATTTTTCCCAAATATTGGTCGTCAAACATGGGTTTAGTTTTATTTATATCTTTCAAAATTAAGCTAGGTGATATTTATCAATCATGAGGCCCCTTGAAGACATATTATTCATATCCATTGTTCTATGTTATAACTATTATATTCTTCTGTCACTACATGCGCCTACAAGTTATGGAAGAAAAGGAGACAAAGTGACAGCAAGATAATAATAGCATATGTATTGTATATACTTAAATAACAAAATATTTATGTAACGTTCGATAAGGAGCTTTAGATGGTATTGAACAATAATTTTAAAATAAATTTAATTTCTTTTATTTTATTTTATTTTATTTTACAGTTTAACCTTATTCAACACTGGATCCAAACTACACTAAGTATATTGACAAATATAATGTCGAGTCTCGATGTCTACTCATTGTTCAACGTGTCCTCTTGCAAACATTCATGAAAGAGGACAAATTAAAATCTTTCTTTTTCAACCACACATTATCCATCAATTTACTATTTTAAAATACATTCTTTCAAAATAATGTGGCTCAAACACACCCTTAATCGACTATGAGAACATTGTTAGTACTGAATACCAAATGCTCATTAAATATATTGACAATGTTTTAGTTAAAAGAACCACAATAATCCTCCATCTGAACTTTCCTACAAGTACCTGAAATTCTGAATTGTTTTTAGAAATCTGGTGGAGCCTCTGGGCCCACTTTTGGCATTATTATTTGATGCAAATAATTTTGTATGTAGCATGCTAATTCAAAGTGGTTAAAATTTACAATCAACAAAAAATTACATATTTTTATATTTTTTTCTATACACTTTAGCCACCCATATGAATTTTAATAGCTACCTAATTATTTATTCGATATTTGTGTACGACATCGAAGTAAAAGTCTGACTTCTAAACTACCATATTGTACATCGAAGAAAAAGTCATCTGCCAAACTGTTGCCACCTCGTCAATTGTCAACAAAGGTGTAAACAATAGGTGTATGTGTAGCACGGTTCTTGTTGACCACTATTTAGAGTGAGATGTCCAAATAATAATAATAATGATAATAATAATAATAATAAATAAATAAATAAATAGTTTCATCACTTAAAGGCCATTTGGGCTATTGTTACCTGTTTGGACTCTTTTTCCTTTCAGTTGGTCTTAGTTGGAATTGGGCTTTGAAGCCCTTTTCTATATTAGTGACAATTGTTGGTCAGAAAATTTTCTATTCTTAGCTAATATTAACATAGAGAATTTCTTCAAATTAACATTGAACAATAATTTGGCTATTCGTTACATTTGTTGAATTATGTCTTAACTGTGCATCGGACATGAACGGTAAATCCAATTTAATTTTAATAATTAACTTACATTATTTACTATTTTAACCTTATAAAATATGCAGCGTTTTAAATGACTCTACATATTAATTAATATACTAATGTTTGTGTGGTTGAAAAGTTGTATCCCGTAAAATGTGTAGTTAAAATTAATTGTTGACTTTAATTGAAATTAAAATTTTAATTTCTAACAAACAGGGGCAAAGTAAAAATACTCATTTAATCATTGTATTTTTAAATAAGCAAAATAAATAATACTATAAAAATGTGATGAAATATGTTCGTCCTATAAGGGAAACTGGAGGACAAGGACGGAGAATGTAATTAGTTACGCTATATAAAAAGCACACGTTCGTGCTTTATGTACTCACGACTTATTATTATTATTTTTTTATAACCGTGGATGTTCGGGTCAACTTGCGCGCACCTCGACTAATTATTAGTGACAATTGTTGGTCAGAATATTTTCTATTCTTAGCTAATATTAACATAGAGAATTTCTTCAAATTAACATTGAACAATAATTTGGCTATTCGTTGAATTATGTCTTAACTGTGCATCGAACATGAACGGTAAATCCAATTTAATTTTAATAATTAACTTACATTATTTACTATTTTAACCTTATAAAATATGCAGCGTTTTAAACGACTCTACATATTAATTAATATACTAATGTTTGTGTGGTTGAAAAGTTGTATCCCGTAAAATGTGTAGTTAAAATTAATTGTTGACTTTAATTGAAATTAAAATTTCAATTTCTAACAAACAGGGGCAAAGTAAAAATACTCATTTAATCATTGTATTTTTAAATAAGCAAAATAAATAATACTGTAAAAATGTGATTAAAACTGAAGGACAAGGACAAGGACGGAGAATGTAATTAGTTACGCTATATAAAAAGCACACGTGTCGTGCTTTATGTACTCACGACTTATTTAGAAAGAGAAATTGTACAACGTTAAGCCGTATTATTAAAGAGAAGAAGTTAAAATTTTATTTGCGTTTGCAGTAATGCTGAACTCAAATATGTCGGCACGATACTATGGTTTTTCATGTCCAACCAACCCCACCAGCCAGAATAACTAACGGGCCATCTCAACATATTTCTTCCATGTTTTGCTTGTCTATGGGGTTGGTATGTACCAACTAAAAGGTGTGACCCTATTTATTGCGTTATTAATTCGGCCATTATTACATCACAAAATTAAATTAAATGGTTACCCAACTATTAACATTATTAGAATATGACACCTCATTAACTTTTCGTGTACGTCTGTTTGATCTTAATCGTAAAATATTATTTTTCTCGATACCACACGAGATATTGACTTTAATAATTAGACTAGATTAAAAAGTTTCTTTAAATATACTTTTTAATTTTAAATATGTTCAAATTGTTTCATTTATTGCTTATAAGTAAAAAAAGTTACTCATTTTGATAGTAATAGAAAAGTAAATGTTGTTTAGTTAAACTTTGACAAACAGTAACACAACTACGTAATTTGTTACTTCATCTTGACCGTTACGAGAACGATTCTGTCGAGGAGAGAATATTGGGACACAACTTAAATAAAGAAAGGTGGCCCAGCAAGCCCATTGCGGATCTCTTCGCATCGTCCCCTTTTATCTTCCTTCATAGTAAATATTAATTTAAAATTGACTGATTTACTTAGGGTGTGTTTGAGCTACATTATTTTAGAATAGTAGATTGATGGAAAATGTGTGGCTAAAAAATAAGGAAAAAATATTGATATGATGGGAAATATATTTTATTGAAGAATGTGCGGTTGAAAATTAGTAGAAGAATGAAAATGAAAATTTTAATGTGGCCCAACAGGAGCTTAATCGTAATTTCTATGAGCTTAATCAAACATGCTATAGACATCCCAATCCCCCCAAAAAATTAATAATAATAAAAATAAAAAATAAAAATTACTACTCTTCTTTCAAGTGCTATTTATGCCTAGGACCCAATCTTCACCCCAACCCCCTCACACAATACAAAATATATAGCCATAACAAGTTCACTCCATTTCTCATACTAACAAAATCTCTTTCGTTATCCTCCAATGGCTCCCTCTGCCACCAATTTTTTCCTCCTCCTCCTTCTCCTTGCCCTCTCCTCCGCCGTGCATACTCGTGCAGGAGACAGCCAATCCTTCAACAAAATCCCTAGCACCACCACCAATGTCGTCAAAATTACACAAAGCCCAAACACTAAAAAAGAAGAACCCAACAATCAACAACAAGAACCTAGTTTCCTTCCTCAAAATGAAAATGTTTATGGCCTTTATGGTCATGAATTAGGCCAGCTCCCTCCTTCCACCGCAACCGCCACCTCCACCAATATTGAACCCGAAACTACCAAATATCGCCCCAAAAACTACAACCCTGTCTCCTATGTTACTGAACCAGAAGACATGACTACATTCACTGAAAAAAGTTACACCGCAGGCCCTAACAACTATGCTGGCGGAAACTTCGATGAGCAGCCGCAAGGGCTGAGCGAAACAAGATTTATGGGCGGCGCAACCTCAAACCACCATGAGAATTACTACAGAAATGGTGGCGGTAGTTACTACGACAGCCCGCAAGAAAATGCAATGAAAGGATACAGAAGTAACAACTATTACAACAATGGTGGCGGTAGTTACTACAACAGCCCGCAAGAAAATACCATGAGAGGCTACAGAAGAAACAATTATTACAACAATGGTGGCGGCAGTTTCAATGGCCAGCCTCAAGGGCTGAGCGACACCAGGTCTACGGGCGGCGCAACCTCAAACCACCGTGAGAATTACTACAGAAACGGTGGCGATATGAACCATTTCCAACAGCAAGGAATGAGCGATACAAGATTCTTGGAAAATGGCAAGTACTTTTATGATGTAAACAGTGAAAAATATAGCAGTAATCATCCATATGAGAGCTTGAAAGGAACTGGAGCAAGAAATGAATACAGAAATAAGAATTATTATGGCAATAATGAGAATTCATATGACTACAACAATTCCATGGGTGAATTTCAGAATCAAGATGAGTTGCAAGAGAGGCAAGATGAAGAAATTATGCCGTGAAGATAGACGTGATCTTTGATACGTGGATTAGATAGTAGAATAGTTGAATTCTCGTCTATTCAATACGTTCTAATCTACGTACCAAACATATGCACTCCGTTGATGAATGATTCTCGTGTTAGGTTATGGTTTATTAATAGGAAAAGTGAAGAATTGTTTACGTGGAATGTTATAATTTTTTTCAAAGTTCTTTTCAAGATTGAAGAATTGGATTATGAACTTTTGATTTTGTATTTGGGTAATCATTAATAAATAAATTATCGTATAGTTATTAAATATTGTATAATTTACGTCCACGCCCATCTATTTACGCTATATATTGATGTTAAAGAAAATGTACTTGATGAAATTTAGGTTTGTGATTAAGTTTCGCACGCTACTGAAAAAGTACACAACAATATTGAGCTCGAGATGATATTTAAATTTTCCAAACGAAAACTTAGGCGTGGAAATATTTCCTTGAAGTCAAGACTTTAATATACCTAATTTAATGTAGATCGAGCTAAATCTTGTACAATTTCGAGCTACATTGTGCGTACGAATATATTTATAAACTATTGTACAATTTTGTGCCACCATTCCTCCCGCTCACCCCCACCCCACGAACCCACACACTATATGTACATGAGAATTATGTAGAGTAGTGTGGTTAATCATGACCCTCGTTACTTGACCTAACAAAAGGTGCAAATTTTGGAATATTAAATGGCAGGGGCTATTTTGGTGGATACATTTAAGGAAAATTGTTGAAGAACTGGACAATTTTTGTCCTCGGCAGTTGAATGAGGTTTGTTGTGTTATTTTCTATGGGACCAATGATCCCAACCCAAGTGAGAAAATCTCACGGATTTAGATTTTGTTTGCTTTTAATTTTTATCTTTTCACTGTATACTCAAATAAATAAAGTATTCGACACCAGACTTTGAAATTAAAAGATCCTGGAATTTTAACAAATTTAAAAAAAAAATTATAAATTGCAATGATTTTCGTGAAGTCGAATAAATTTTCACATAATTCATAAAAAAATGTTATTCTTATTCTCATCTTCATCGTTGTGTTGTATATCTGATTTTAGAGATGAGAATTTATGTAGTTGTCACTGTCAATAGCGTAGTAGTAACATGTTCAGTATTTAATGCAGTAAACATTATCTAAAGATTATTGACAAAAATATTAGCTGGCCTGAGAAGAACTGAAAGAGGGACTAGACTAGAAAGCAAGTCTTGTAATAATTCAAAGTTCCCAAAAAAAAAATAAAAAAATATTGATGAGTTCATTTACAATCCAACATTCTTAACATGTTCTAGAACTCGTTTTTTCTCAAATTTATTTTCAACTACGCATTTTAATTTTTATCAAAATCTACTAAAAGTCTAATTTTTATGTGAACCAAACAGGAGTTAAGTTTGAACGAACCCGTCGAATGTATCGTATGTTAGGTTAAAAGTTGATCTCCAAATGTGCTTTTTGTCTCTCTCCTTGATGGGATGAAACTACTACATTTCAGTATGGCACCGAAATTATACACTAAAATGGGAAACATGTAGAGAAGCAAGAGTTTTTTCATTATGTTTTGAGGGATAAAAATAGATAAAATGTACAAAGCACATGTAGCTGACACTACAGTTTTCAATAATCATGGCTTCCATCCACTTGTGGAACTCATCAATTTAATAGTGAAAATTTTACTTCAGATTCTGCACCTTCCCATATTTGAGGAACACTATCATGGGACAGTCTTTTACAAGCCAAATATCAAACCAAGCCAAAACCAAACTACTACTAGTCCTATGGAGTTAATTTAATTATCTTAAACGATAAAAATCGATATAATTCAGAGAAATCGGTATACCAAACCCAATATTCACCAAGTAAATTGTTACAGCATCAAGATTCTTCAACATTCACCAACTCATACTCGACCAGTGATAGATTGTTGTCCTCTTTGACCACGAATTTTGCAGGATCAGTAACCTCGATGCGGCCCCACATATCAACAGTTAGCCTCATAGACCCCTTGAACATGTCAATTTTTGCGTTCCGAAGAATCAAGGTGTTACCTGGCTTCATCAGATCAACTGCAGGGAAACCAAATCAATTCATCAGTAAGCGCAGTAGGAGTGGAGTTACGTCTACAAAAGTGCAAGAAGTTAGTATCATTGCGACAATTAAGTATCAAAATACAACTAGCATATATAATTCAGATGAACTAAAGAGCACTTTGACTATACTGCCAGATAGAGTAATCGGTTTTTGGCTAACATTTAAGGTAAAGGTTGAAATTTAAAAAAAAATTGGAAAAAAGAGAAACATAACATCCAACTGCCCACGTGAAGAGTAAAGAATAGAAGGAAAACAAAAAAGGAACCACAGATAGAGAGTAAAATAGCTTAAATTTGTTTCCAGGCAATTATAGCATTATCAGGTGGCTCAGACAAGAATGGTAGAGAAACATAAAAGCACCATATCATACAAATCTCAGGCATAAAAAAGAGAGACAAATATACATCTGCTAGTGCTATGTCAATAATATTCAGTCACATGTCCAACAGCACTGATGTAAAAAGGCATCGCAGATTTTAACAATAAATAAATCCCTCTGTAAACCTCAAGGCATATTGATACATAAGCACAAACCAATAAAATAAATTAAAAAATACAGAAATACAGAAATATGCTAATCTCAACGTATTTGATTCTCATATCATGCTCCTCATCACTGTCAGTTTATTCTTCTCATTGTTTGACATCATCATCGAATTACAATAGCATATTCTCCTCCTTCCATGTCAAGGCCAAAAAAAAAAAAACCTCTGCAAAAGGTTTTATGGTATTAGAAAATAGCCTAAAAAGTTGAGATCAATTATAAAAATTTCATAAAAGGAAATAGAAACAAGCACCTTAGCCGCTTTGAGGAGTAAGCCTAAGTAAATCAAGGCGTGGGGCTTGAAAATGGCACACATGGCGTAAGCTTTAAAGCGTTTAGTGAATCACAAAAGTCACACTTCAAGACATAAGTCTCGTAAAATATTTTGAAACAATGCTCTTGATTGTGAACTATGAAGCATGGATACGGAGACGCCGTAGGACATGCCACACATGATTTTTCAGAAAAAAAACTGACACGTTGATTAAAATAATTATTATTATTTCATTTATTAATTTCATGCCGTGAAGCCTACTGTAGAGATTGGTTGCTTTTATTGATTTAGACAAAAATCTACGATAAAATGACAGAAGAAGTGTCAAGGTAAGTGCCAAAGAGAAGAAATTTCTATCACGCACCAGTATTAATTTAGATATGTATAATACAGAAAGTTCCAACTTTGAAATTTTCTATTACTATAGACTTGTATCAAGGTTTCATCCTAAATCTTTATCTTTTTAAAATCATGGATAAGCTTATAGGGCATATCCAAGATTAGATAAATTGTTGCAAGTAATTTGTGAAATATATGATCTTACTTGATGAGGCTTTAAGGAAGATACATTGAAATAGCTTCGGAGGAGCACTTTGGACCAATGCTAAGTAGGTTAAAAAAATTAAGAAGCGTTACAAGTACGCAACATTATAGAAAGATACCTAGAAAGTTAGAAACTTCTATACAACGGTAATTGGGAATAAAAAGTTCAGAAAATAATGCAACAAAATTAAAGTTGGTAAAATGGATGTGCAGGCAATGAAATAGATAACAAGGTAAAAATAAATTAGGAAATGACTAAAATTAACGAGTAATATTATTCAGCACCACTGGTGCATATCACCAATCTAGATGGCAATTAGATGTCATTAAATGATAGGTTCATTTAAATGAAAAAGTCAAAACATTCATTTAATTGCACATATTATGGGTGACCACTTAAACTGCTGCTAGATAACATTATTCAAAATTAACATGTCTGACATTGATGAAAAACTAATTGCATTGGATTCTCTTGTCGGCAGCAGACGTAGCTGTGGATCAAACAGAGTGGAAAAAGTTGACCTGTGCGAGTGACTCCAACTTGATTTTTTCTTCTTTTTCTATTGTTATAATATCCGCGTAATGGAACCAAAACCTGAATTTTCTATGCTTCTATTCCACTGGCTCCAACACTGCTAATCAACTGCAAACTGAACTTAGCCATGAAGAACCACAAAGAAGAGCTTATTCAAGCTTTTATTCGCAAGATAATTGAGTATTACAGCTTAAAAACATTTTCCGGCCTATTATTACGTAATGTATTAAGCAGCACTGTCCCCTTCATGTTTAGATGAAAACCAAACTCAAACCACAAAAATTAGTATTGCTTGAAACAAAAAATGAAAGACACCGATACAGGGAGAGACGATGCCTAGAAATGCCTAAGAGATGAACTTCACTGAAAAAGAAAAAGTATCCATAAACTTAACAAATATTTGACACTGAAAGGTGGTGAAAGCATATACATGCTCGCTAATTTACAGCTCGCGCGTAATCACAAATACCGAAAACTAAGTCAGATCGCAGGTGCCGAAATTTATACAATTTGAGCCATAAAATCCCAGATAAATAAAATAATTAAGAAATGCAACTATTCTTCCCCCATAAAATTTCACAATTTGTTCAGTTTCATAAATAAAAAAGTTTCATTTATCAGCATTTTTAGCTAATTACCAATTCTCCCCAACAATAATATATTTAGCACGAAACAGCAACCCCTTAAAAGCATGTAAATAAATACACGTGTGTGCCTGAAGGAGAGATTGGCGAACGGACCTTGGTTATCACGGGCAGTGAAGAGGATGGTGCCCGTTTCGTCGCCAATGAGGCACTCCGCGATACGAGTATTCTGGTTCTGGGGCCCACGGAACGACATCATATTCCGGGGCTTCTTGCTGAGTACGGTGTTGGAGTTCAATACTTTCGCAATCAGTGTGTGGCCATTCGTCCCCGGCTTCAAAGAATCAACCTTTACAAACACCGGTTTTCTCAACCCTGAGTTGTGGCTGTTCGCGTCTGTGGCGCTGGCCCCAGATTGTTCCACTGATTTCGACGAACCTTTGGTTGCCATCGGCAGAGAGAGTGAGTAGTTAGAGATTTGGGGATTTAGTTATCGGGTTTTGTGAGTTAACAGGGTATTGGAATTTGGAAATGAGAAACCCTACCTCTAAAATGAAAAATCGTAAAGGAATATAAATTGGGGACTTTGAATTGGGAAAATGTCTGCTACATATACCGAATTTTTTTACCGAATTCTTTACCGATTACTCACAATGGGGTGGGCACCACATCCAGAGATTTTTTTTATTCACGTCGGACCCGCTTACGTGTGTAAGGAGGTAAACAATTCAGTAGATTTTTTATGTACAAATATCTTTATCCTTTGGAAAAACGCCATGGAGCCCCCACTTTTACCCTTTCTTTTCAATTCTATCCTTGATAATTTATATGTTACGTTAAATATTTTTTGAAGGTTTATGTAAATTAATTAACTATTTAAAAGTAACAACTAAAAAACGTTTCTACTCAAAATCAAAATGTGAAATAGTTAATTATTCTTAAACTCATACAGACATGTCACCACGTGAAATCAAGAATTGACCAATTTACAAATTGATTAATAATTTTATCTTATATAGATATATTTTACAATATTTATATTGTACCAGCTCACACACACACCAATTGCCTTTAGAAATCCCTAAATTTTCTGTACCCCTCGTCCCTTTCTTCATCGGGACACCCCCAATTTCATTCTATCCGCTTACCTTTCCCCACTATCGTGTCATTCCTTTCTTCTTCTCAACAGCCATTTTTAGAACAAGAATGGAAACATCCACTAGCCGCCTCTCTAGCTAAATACATTTCTCAAACAAGAAGGATGGGTCCTCAATCCCCAAGACTTTAGGGATCATTTGTGCCAAAAACCCTTTTTTGCTTCTACGGACTTTTCTTTTTACCATCTTACCTTGTTCATAATATTTTTCCATTGTTGTTTACCAGCTATTCATACAACCTTTCAATCTCCATAGTATGTTGTGTAGTTAGATCATGGAAACTAAACGAGATACTCCATTTTCTTCGGTCATTACTTTTCTATTTTATTTTATTTTTATTCCATTTTAGCTAGAAAATAACATGCTCATATCAAGCTTGAGTTCTAACATACTTGTTTCTTTTTGTGCAATCAATGTTTGTCAAGGATTAAGAATAGATATTGATCGTCATCAACCTAGTACGGCACTTGATGTATCTACTTTATGACGTTCAAAATGAAAATGAATGCTCGATCTAGAGTCAATTATTCCGACAAGGTGTTGAGGCTCAACTTTGACGATGATGAACAAGTTGAGGGCTGGATGAACCAAAACGGCACATCAACTTGGTACTCCCCATTTTGACTCGTTTTCCAATATTGATGATACCAAACGCCACCTATGTCTCCCATGAACACAAACAGACAACAAAAATAGAAACACAGTAGGTTTTTCTAAACAAATCCTGCTCCCATTTCCCAAAAGAAAACGACAAAGGCGTAATCACTTTCAAATTAATCTTGTTTTCGTAATTTATGTATTAATAATCCAATCTCGGTTCAGTCTCTGCCATTTCTTTCTGAGCTTTATTCATGGAATCCAAATTCGGTGGCTCGCGTTCCGTCACGAAGAACCAATTCATCTTGCAGCGCCACCACCGTCTCAGCCAGAGCCATGGCAGGCACCTTAACGACTCCTCTCGATTGGGTTCGTTTCTTTTTTCCATAATTCTTTTTATACCACTCTCAATTGTTCTGAGAATTAATTTTATCGAATTTTTGTTCAATAGATCGCTTTAATATCGATGATTTCGAGGTTGAAGAAGAAGACCCTTTACCTGAATTCTCATGCCCGTATTGCTACGAGGAGTTTGATATAGCCTCCCTTTGCTCACATCTAGAAGATGAACACTCTTGCGAATCAAAAGCCATCGTGAGTTTCTCATTAGATCGATTTTTATATTTATCCTTTGAATTTCTATTTTAGAAAAATTCTTTCTTTGTTGCTGTTGTTTTATGATTTCTTTACGGCTAATGTTTATATTTGCTTAATTTGGTCTAAAGTTTCCTTTTTTAATTATTTGTTTATGCCTTGTTCAGTAAGGTCGATTGTGCATTAGTGACTGTTTAGGAAAGGAAATAAGCTAAATCTGGTTTATTATAGGATCAAGTTCTGCTCAATTCTGCATATCAACCATGAACCGGCTTATGTTTGGCACATGTTTATAATCAATCAAACCACTTTTTATCCGCAGAACCCACTAGTACTTCTCACTTATATACCATTCATTTCTATCTATTTATAATTTTAAACTGATTATAAACAACTCTCAAACGTGCTTATATCAGGGACCTTTAGATATCTCTTCAGCAGTATTCAATATAAGGATTATTCTTGCTTTAGTATCCTGTTGACCTCGTATTTGCAAAATTAATGGGATTTCGGTAGAGCTATAATGGTTTATGCTGAAGGGTTAAGTGCAGCATTATTGTTGAAGAAGTTTACCTACTGAACCCAGAGATTCAACGAGAAAAGATGAGAGCTGATTTATGTATATTTAGCTTAAAGCAAGATATGATAATGAGCAGTGTGTGATATAGATAGCATAAGATTACATATGATAATTTTTTCATCTTTTTTGTGAAATTTTAGGCGTGTGAATATGATTCTTCGAGTCCCTTCCATTTCTTATTGATATAACCAGTATAAACGGTTCACTTTCACTCTGCTCATAATCACCATAGACAGTTTTCGTACACGATGCCTGCTGGGAAGAGGTTAGTGAAGAGAGACGGGAGGAGGGTTGATTGATCGCAGGTTTTCTGAGGACCTTCTAAATTAGAGCCAGATTGTGCAATAAAGATTTGGAGTTTTCTGGTTTCTTGGACTCTCATGCATTTTAGGATGTTTACAACATAATCTATTGGAATGGGCTATGTTAGAGTATCAAAGAAAGATTCCTATACCATCTCGATTGCATCTGTAAATTTTTTTGTTTTTTGATAAGTAAATTGCATCTGTAAATATCAATTGAATAAGCAAGTCACTGCATTGACTGGTGAGGTTAATACTTGGTGAAGACCGTCTGTTTTATCAGAATCAGGATTTATATCTCTCTCTTCTCGATTTTATCTCACGTGACAATATCAACTTTATTTGTAGTCCATTTGATCTGATGATATGTAAACTGATGGAACTTTGCATTAGTGCTCACTCATACACGGAGAGATTGTGTTTTACATTCTTCGTCTACTTCTTTCTTTACTTCAAGATTTATTTGTTTCTTTATTTAGTTTTTTTATGGTGGGATCCAACTTTTCATTGAAAACAGGCTTCGAATGGTAAGTATATGCTAAATGTTGTTTCAAGAACCTTATACCACATTAATTTCTTTCTAGCAGGCCTGTCCTGTTTGCTCGGTTGAAGTTACTGGAGACGTGATAAATCATATCATACTGCAGCACGGACACTTATTCAAGATATCCTTATATTTCGAATACAACTACACGTCGATGCGTGTTTAACTTATATTCCTGCATTTTTAATAGAAAGGTTTCTTTAACTTGCAATTACCTTCAGCGACGTCGAAGACTGCGTAGTGCTGCCATTCCCAACAGTCGAGCGCTGTCCGGGCTGGGAAAGGATCTTCGTGATGCCCAGTTACAGGCCCTTCTAGAAGGCAGTGGCTATCGATCGAACACTACAACTTCATCCAATGCAGTCCCTGATACTTTTTTATCATCTCTTTTGAATTTCTCTGCATCTGAAACGGAAGAAATTTCGAAATCTGTGATATCGAGTATTGATGCCAATTTCTCGAAAAGCATATCATCACAACATAGGTGGAAATCAAGGTAGTAAATCAAATTAATCTGTCTTATTATCATTATATATTTTAGCATATTTGATGAGGTAGATTAGTGAGTATCGGACGGTGTTAATTGTTAAATAAGTCTCTCCTTGCAGTTTCGATTCATCCTTAAGTCGTGAAGAGAGAGAAGAAAGAACAAGACAGGCAGCCGGAAGAGCCGTTTTTGTCCAAGATATGCTGGCCTCGACACTATTAATCGACTAGCGTAACTGGTAAGTTGTTTCATTCACAAAACAAACAACGTTAAAATCAAGTCGTATGTGGGTTAGGGGTATCAATAGAGCTTTAAGCTTCATTTGTTTCTGAAATGATTGGAAGACATTAGATGCGTGTTTAGTATACAATATTGGACAGACTAGTAACATAATATCGAGATTTTAATTTTTTTCTTACCGAAATATGCCATAGAAGTTTCTCGACTAATTCTAATCTTACACTTGATGAAAAATTGAATATATTAGTACGATGTTATACTTGAAAACATTTTAAAATTCTTCCATCGAGTTCTACTATTAACATATTTGACATGGTATCAAAATAAATAGAATTAAATGCATCTCACAACAAATTTCGACATGTATCCCTTCATTGAAATCACCACTGGCACAGATGGCGGATCCAGAATTATTGATCAGTTAGGGCGACCGTTGACCATTTACCGTTGATAGTCAACGACCGTAATAGCGAGATCATTTATTAATATTTAATTAATAAATGATCAATTGGGGTGACCGTTGACCATTTATTGTTGATGGTTAACGATCATAATAGCATATCATTTATTAATATTTAATTAAATAATTTCAGTCTTTATGTAAATGTAAAAATCATGTATTATAAATTCCCCAATTTATTATTTTCTTTTATCACAAATCACAATCAACAGATGTCACATATTATTTTCAAATTCACAAAGAGCAAGATTGAAAAAATTTCAAGGTTAACAAATGACAGCAGTATTTTCAAAAATAAAAAGAAGACTGTGCAAGATTAGATCCCCAAAATAAAAAATCTGAGTGCCTAATAAATTGTTACATACGCATATATACAATTACACGAGGAAAAGAGAGATATCACCGCTTAACACAACTTTATCAGTGGGCGGTGACGACTCGACGGCACCGACAGGTTGAGTGAGCAAGGGAGGGAGGGTTGATTGGATAAGGATTTGTTTTTTGATTTTGCAATTGAATTGTGAAAAAAAACACAAACCATTAAACCAACTATAAATATAAATTCCTTCCATTGTCTCATCCCTTCCCTGTAAATTTTCAATGGCGACTGTAAATTCCTCCTCGGCTCTTGATGTCGATTTTAAATTTCAACGGAGCCAGCAAGAACAGCTGCACTACTCGCCAAGTGTTAGTTCCACCACTGATCACCCCTAATTAATTTGCACACTTGGAAAATATTGTGTCGTCGTCATTATTATTTTTTTTTAACGTTAGAGATTGAATAATCACTTTTCTATTCTTTGCTTGTGTAATACAATTAATACTGTATTATCCTAGAAATCCAAACTACTAGCCTCATTTTGGCAGAATTTATAAATTATTTAAAAATGATTAAACTTCATTATGATCGTATATTTTAATGAATTCACAATTTTCTCACTTGTTTAGCACACTCCTTAAATATTTTTGCACTTGTAATAGATTGAGCCTCGTGACATTTACTCTTTATAAAAGAATAAATCTGTAGGTATAGGAAATTTTGCACAACCGCCTTCCTGTGATTTGCTGTTTTTTGGCAACAACCAAAATCTGTGCAAAAACCTATACTTATAGCATTTCTCTTATAAAAAAGAATAACGTGTAGATTCAGTATATAATTATATATACGTGGTAGTTTCTTATTTTCTGACTTGTATTAGAATGTAACCAAAAACACATGAATCATCCTAGGTTGTAATAAAATTGCGGCACACCGCTTCATTGAATCACTCTCTCTCTCTCTAAAAACCTGGATCCTTCTCAAGAGGTGAGCTAAATGGTTCTATTTGATTTTGTCACCCGGTTCGCTTTGGACCCCACTATTACGTTAGGGTCACATCCCTAATGGAATTTTCTGTTTTTCTCTCTCTCTCTCTCTCTCTCAGGATTTTTTAATTCCAATATAGAAATTTCAAATTAGGGTCACTGTTGAAAAATGTAATTATTAAATATTTATCAATAAATTGTATAACCTAAGAATTTCAAATATTCAACTTTTTAGGTAAGATGTAAGTTATTTTGGTGTAAGATTATTTTTTCTTAACTAAAGGTGTGTGTTAATTCTTTTATCGTGTTTGCTATCCAACGTTGTTCGGACATTTAATTTATGTAATAATGGTGTAAATTGTCGGGTATTGAAAAGTTTATTTTGTCGTATTATAATAACTTTATGTAAACAGACAAGTTCGAATATTTTACTTCATGGTCAAACATGCCACTGCGTGTATTATTACGTTTTTTCGTGTTTGCTATTCGACGTTGTTGAATATATAGTTTACATAATAACAATATAAATTTTTGGGGCATTGAACAATTTATTTTATAGGATTCTAATAACTCTTTGTAACCGAATAAGTTCGAAGATTCAAATCCTTTATCAAATATGCCATCTGTCACGTTGTACGACCAAATCTATCCTAGTTAAACATTTCGTAAGAATTATTACCGTTTCATCATATGTTCGCACAATTTAAAATTCTCATACATTTGGCCCCTGTTTGATAAACATTAAAATCCCGATTTTAATCAAAATCAAAATCAACACTGAATTTTAACCATATATTTCATAGAATCCACAACTTTTCAACTATATATTTCATCAATTGTTATCAAAATTCTACTAAAAATCTGATTTTAATCCCTACCAAAGGACTTGATTTGTTAATTTAACATATAAACCATCAAATCAAACAAATAACCTCTTCAATTTTTTATTACAATGCAATTTTTTTTTCTTTATTTCATCATCGTTTCAAAACAATTTTCTCAATCTCGTAATATATTCTATAATTGTAGTAAAATAGAGTAAAATTCAAATTTTACACATTAATCCGTCAAATTATATACAATCCTTCTGTTCGGGTTTATTTTTAACTAAAATTTATACTTCTCAAGAAATGAATGTTAGATAAATAGGTGGTACCTGTTGTAATGTGTGGTTAAAATTAAAATTTAGTTTTAAAAAGTAACCTTTTAATAATAAAAGTTGAAACCTAGATAGAAGCATTATTTAAAGAGAAAATTGCAACAATAATCCCAAACATTTTCAATTTTTGCAGACTTTATCATAACCTTCATTTTGTGTCAGCGCTGGTCCCTAACCTTTCATAAATATGCAGTTGAGGTCTATCTAGACGGAAACCGTTCACTTTTTTGTTAGTTAACAAGGAAAATGAGTTTGACCACATTATGAATTATTTTTATAAGGATAAAATGATAACTTTATCTCTTTTCATATAAAAAACAATTTAAAAAAACAAAAAAAAAAACCATAATCTTTCACAACTATTCCATCCCATCCAAACCTCACCCCATACTTAAAACCAAAATCACTCTACCCACCGTTGCCCCTAAAAAACCCAACACCCCCTAACTCCCCGAACCTGTCTCCGCTCTCTCCGGTAACCGCCTTAACCTCCACAATAAGATTCTAACACTCGATTTACTCAAACTGTTGACCAACGATTTACACATGAAATGCCGTTATGTTGGCGCAGTTGCTACATTCGAAATATTCAAAGCTTGTTTGGGAAGGATTAAAATTCAATTAAAATTGAAAATATAACCGTTATTGGATCTCACTCGTCTAATAAAAGTTAACTCCAACGGCTATATTTTCAATTTTAATCTGATTTTAATCCATCCTAAACAAGCCTTCAGATCTTTTGTATCTTCACCAATTCGTCACTCAGACCGGTGTCATCGCCAACGTCGAGACGCATGACATCCTCCTAACATCCTACCTCGACTGTCGAAAAAGGGACCTTGCTTTGGAACACTACATACATCTCGTCAATGATGCACCATTTAACCCCTCCCCCCACCACTTACCTACCGCGTTCTCATCAAAGGGCTTGTCGACAATAAAAAATTCAAGAATGCCGTTGAGCTCAAGGACGAAATGGCCACCAAGAGCTTTGAACCAAATCCGACTATTTATTCATATTTAATGTTGGGTTTAGCTAAGAATTCAAACCCGGATGGGGTTTTCGAATTGTACGAAGAATTAAAGGGGAAATTGGGACAAGAAGAAGTTGGAGGTGGTGATGTGGCTTCAATTTTGATTTCTCATTTGGATTCCATTTGGTAGTGAAGAAGAGTGTAGCAGAGGTTGTCGAGGTTGTGGATTCGACGATGGTGGCAGTGGGTGAATTTGGGCGACGATGGGTAGCAGGGTTAGGTTTTGCGATAGGGGTAAGGGTAGGGGTTTGGATAGGATGGGATGGGATGGGATGGAGTAGTTGTGGAAGATGATATTTTTTTATTTAATTATTTTTATATGAAAAGAGATAAAATTACCATTTCATCCTTATAGAAATAATTAAAAATGTTGTCAAAATTATTTTTTTGGTCAACTAATGAAAGAGTGGACGGTTTCCATCCAAATAGACCCCAACTACACAATTATAAAAGGTTAGAGACCTTCACTAGCATAAAATGAAATTAGGGTAAAGTCTGCAAAAATTGAAAATGTTAGAAACCATTGCTGCAATTTTCCCTCATTTAAATTCTTAAAAATATGAAAAATGTTGTGTTTCATATACATTACAACTTAAATATTTATTTAGCAACGGATGACATGACGAAAATTCTCTAATTTCTTTTTGTCATTAATCAACATTACAAAGGTATAGCCGTTTTATGTGTTGAAGTAATTTTGCATGTTTTGATTTAATTTATCGACATTTCATCAAATTGTAAAAGAATATGTAATTAGAGATATACAACAAAATTTTTCCATTTATATAACACAAAAATTCATTAACATAATTTTCTATAAAAAAAAACTAAAAAAAAATTAACAAAGAAAAAAACAAGATCCACCTCTTAGTTACACACACCTGCCGGTTAGCTTCACATTCCGACAATTATCCCTGCAAGCACACCACATAAAACCCTAGTTTCTACGTGTCCAAAAAGCAATGCAGCTACCTGCCACGTCTTCATGGGTCCCACATTTCACAATTCCCCTCAGTATAACCAAGTAACCAACTCCACAGACCGCCTATAAATAGAGTGTCAATCTACTCTCCTAGCCATGCCCTAAATTTCTTACAGTACACGCACTGTTCGTACACAGTGAATAGAGGTGTGTCAGTGTAAGTTATGGCGCAAAGACCTTTGGGGACGAGGGGCAGTCGGGAGGTAAATGTGGTTCATCATCGAGGAGTAAGAATGAGGAGATGCGGAAAATTTGTAGCCGAAATAAGAAACCTGGCCACCAGGTCCGTCTTCTGGCTGGGGACTTATTACAATGCGGTGGACGCCGCCATAACGTACGACTCCGCCGCAAAGAGAATTCGCGGTGCCAAGGCCAGGACCGATTTCCCCCTAAATGATGGCCGTAACATGCAGAGTTTTGTCCTTAACGGAGTGGAGTTATCTCCTTTGGACCTCACCCTCGCTCCGCCGATAAATTTTCCGATCGAGTGTTATCACCGGCAGCGCCAATTCTCTGCAGTTCATTCTATTAGCCAGCCCACGAGGTATGCAACTCCTACGGCGGAAGCTCCGCTGGGTCTCCGCCTTAGCGAAAGATCAATGCTAGAGATTATCCAAACCTATGAGGACATGCTGCAGACGGAGGCCGTCCAGGCACAGCGCAACGGCTTTGATCTTGATCTCAACCGCCCTCCACCGGAGGAGGAGAGTTGACGCCACCATCTGTCATAAACTGTAAACTTCTTAGTGGGGTTTACCCTTCTAATAATAATTACTAATTATCTTGGCTTGTAATATGTAATAATTACTTATTATCTTGGCTTGTAATATGCAATGCAGTATTTGTTTATAATAAATCTCATTCTCTTCAAAGTACAAATAGACTGAAATAGTCAGTAATTTAATTTTCAACTTCGATTAATGGCGTGGGGTCATCGGACCTCTTAGCATTAACAAAAAACTGCACACTCTAAAAATAAGTGAACGTTTTCAGTATACATAAAATGAAATCAGGTGAAACAGCACGGCGAGGCCGTGCCAATATTGCAGCAGAACTCCGGCGGCCGCGACTGAACAAGGGAAGTGAAATCTCCATGCGTAATGTAACTATGAATCAAGAACCTCAATTTCAACAAAATGCTGTGGAATCTCCAGTGTAATCGTTATACCAGGTGTATTTACTCAACGAAGATTTTGTAGGAGATGAGGCTAAAATTGATCAAAGTGCAGAGTTTCAGGTTGATCAATCTCTTCCTGGAAAACATCAAGAAGATTAAAGATTGAAATGGATCGAACAAGAATGAATGTTATTCAATTGGTATTTGTCATAAGTTATATTCAAAAAAAATTAATTTGGTAGCTTATCAAAAAATTTAACAGATTTGATGAGACGAGATTTGATTAGGTCGAAATCTCATCAACTAAATAAAAATGAAAAACTCCCATTTTTTTTTTTTGACATATCATCAATATGTAAAAGATTATGTAAATGGTGATATGCAACAGACATTTTCCTTGTAACTAGCTATTCATTTCTCATAGTAATCTCATGAATAACGAGAAAAGTCAGTTGGAATGATCAACAAAAGACCATGTAAATTTTTGAAAATAAGTTTTGAAATAAATATTATTTTATTGAGTTGTTTGGTCATTAAAGTCAATGTTCTTTCTAAAAAATAACTTTTTCAAGCATGAAGGAAAATAAAAGTAAGGGGTAAATTTTAGAAATTTTAACATGAATTTTTCATTTGGCTTTTATCTTTCATGATAAATATTAAGTTTTATTTTTTTATTTATAATTTTCTGAAATTATTACATTAAGATTCTAGTTTTCTTAGAAAAGATTAATATTGATTCAAAATGTTAACTTGAAAAGGGAAAAGAAAAAAGTAATAATTTTGTAATTGTCTAGGAATGACAAAATTAAGGATATGAAAATATTATAATATAAATTTGATAATATCCATTTATCTAAAAATAATGTTAATGTTTAACAAATGAGATGGAAAATAAAAATAAAGGATATTAAAATATTATTGAATAATAATTTCAAATTATATTATAAATACTTAATGATAAAAAAAAATAACTTTTAACTAATAGGAGGGAACTCATTATTGAAAGCAAACCTTAGGGATTGCGTCTTAAATTATCACAAACTTCAGGGGAGATTTTTGTAATTTACCCTACATTTTTTCATCTAGCATTGCGCCAAACACATACCACAACAATACACTTAGGTTGCTACCAAAAAGCCTGAAGTAAATTAATTTCCAAATTGTTATATACAATCAATAAACAATTATTATATATAACACTAAAACTTAAAAAACTCATGAATTAAGTTATTATTTTAAAACATGCAACTTATTATTATTATTATTATTATTATTATTATTATTATTATAAGGAAGACGCGTGCATCTAACATTATTGTTGATCAATCTCTTCCTGGAAAACTTCAAGAAGATTAAAGATTGAAATGGATCGAACAAGAATGATTGTTATTCAGTTGGTATTTGTCATGAGTTATATTCAAAAAAAAAAATTAATTTGGTAGCTTATAATCTTTATTTCTTATCGTTGGATTGTAATTACAAATTTATTTGGTAGCTTATCAAAAAATTTAACAGATGATGAGACGAGATTTGATTTGGTCAAAATCTCATCAACTAAATAAAAATGAAAAACTTCCCTTTTCTTTTTGACATCTCATGATAAATATTAAACTTTATTTTTTTATTTATAATTTTCTGAAATTATTACATTAAGATTCTATTTTTCTTAGAAAAGATTAATATTGATTCAAAATGTTAACTTGAAAAGGGAAAAGACAAAAAACAATATTTTTGATTTTTATACAATCTTTGTTGTATTTGGTATTACTATAAGAACATCTTAAATTTTGTAATTGTCTAGGAATGACAAAATTAAGGATATTAAAATATTATAATATAAATTTGATAATATCCATTTATCTAAAAATAATATTAACGTTTAACAAATGAGATGGAAAACAAAAAAGAAAAAAAAATTAAGGATATTAAAATATTATTCAATAATAATTGCAAATTATAATATAAATACTTAATGATAAAAAAAAAAGAAATAAAAATAACTTTTAATTAATAGGAGGGGAACTCATTATTGAAAGCAAACCTTAGGGATTGCGTCTAAAATTATCACAAACTTCAGGGGAGATTTTTGTAATTTACCCTACATTTTTTTATCCAGCATTGCGCCAAACACATACCACAACAATACACTTAGGCTCCGTTTGATTCGTCTCATTTTCCAACTTTTGTAGTGTTTGATAGGTTTCCACATTTTCTCATTTTTCACCTTTTTGAGGAAAATAAATTCTTGATGTTTTGGTGGGTAAATATTTTTCAGTTTTTTTTTTTTGGCAATTGAAAAAAACTCTAAACACAATGATAAAAAAAATTTCACTTTTATTTAAAATTTCCTTTTTTTTTTTTACAATTGGAAAAAAGTCTAGATACAATGGCAAAAAAATTTATCACTTTTATTGACAATTTTAATTCAAAACAAAATCAAACGAATGATATTCGGTATAATAATTTTTTTTCCAAATTTTTTTTTTTGACAATTGGAACAAATTCTAGACCCACTCGTAGAAAAAATTATCACTTTAATGGACAATTTCCTTTAAAAACGAAGTCAAACGGATACCAAACTTTTAATATTTTCCATGAAAAATTATATCAATCAAAAACAATTAATTACAATTCTCAATAAAATAATTTCTAGGCAAATCAATTCCCTATAAAATATTTTCTTTCTACTTATTTTCCACATTTACAATCAAACGGACCTTTGCTACCAAAAAGCCTAAAGTAAATTAATTTTCAAATTGTTATATACAATCAATAAAAAATTATTATATACTAAAACTAACTCATGCATTAAGTTATTATTTCAAAACATACAAATTATAAACACTTTTTATTGTTATTATTATTTCTCTCTTGAATTTTTATAATTCATAAGCTATGAAATTTTAATTATAATGTATTACTTATAATAATTAAAATGGTGGAATTTTAATAGTTTTGAATGTACAATTCACAAGTCCATAAGAAAATAATTAAAACATCATGAATAAAACCCCCACCTCTCTATGCTCTTGATTTGTCTATGAAAAATAGAATAGTCCAATTAAAAAATGGTTGTTATTTCGCTTATGTTATTTTCGTAATTGACTAATTTCTTTTGTATTTCACGACTTTCATGATTTGGTTAAAATCTTATTCGAGTTTATATTCATCACATTAATGACACGTTTAATTTAGAAAATAAGCTAAATTCATTTTATTTCTTTCGAATTGTGGGATTTTTCGAGGCAAGTATCGTACATTGCTCAGATTGAAAATCAAGGTTCTAAAGTTAATTAATTTTTTTTATCCAGTTAAACACTTACTGTCTTAATTCAGCATAACAAACGAGTCCTTATAAAATAGGTCAAAGTTTTATCTTCAGTTACGGGTTGAATAGAAACTCTTTAATTGTTTTTTTCTTCGCTTACGTAATGCATTTAATTCATTCTTATCCCGAGTTATCCAGACTTTTAATTTTTTTCAATTTTTTTTTTCACGAAAAAAGCCTTAAATTTTATTTTGTTGCTCCAAAAAAAATTAAATTTATGAATAAATACATAACTCTCCCCGAAAATACGGGAAAGTATAATCCCTGCAAAAGTTCAATATTCGACAGGCCTTATGAAATTCCGGCCAGTATTTCAGACCCTTGGGCGGGGGTGGTGGTATGTGCCATGTGAAATATTAATGGAATATTTCAATTGAGGTCCTCCAACTTACAAGTTCATAACAAGTTTGGCAGTTGGCTATATAATTTTTTAGTATTGCAATTTAATCACTCAACTCACTTCTTTTATTAATTTAGTTAACTAACTTACATTTTTATTTCAACTTGACTATCCCATTCACTATATTTAACAAAATTGATCGAATTTGAGATGCGACAAAAATAGTTAAGAGACTCGTTAAGAGAATTTGTAAACTCATTAACCGAATTGGTCCAATGTTTATGTACATGTTATTTGTCGTCACATAATATTAGATTTTGTTAGAAATTTAAGCTTGATAATTCTCTCAGTAAAGTATAAATCAAATGCTCAAATTTAAATAAACAGTATGTATATCAAAGATTGAGGTGCAAATTTCAATTAAGAGAGTGTCGCTCGTAATATGTTGACCATCGCCTCAGTTTACTACATCTACTCGATGAAAGATTATTCATTTCTTACCTATAAGTCGATCTCTTAAGCATTATAGTTGTCAATTTAAGTTAGGTGGCTAAATAGAAATTAAATTAAATTTAGTTGATTAATATGAAACAAAAATATAAATTAGGTACCTCCACTGAATTTTCATAGTTATAAAAACTTGTTGATTTGGTATACGTACGTGCTAGTTTGTCATTGGCATATAAATTCTTCGAGTGAAATTGGTAAACGTGTATCGTCCTAGGTTGACTCACCGCTTCAGTGATTCACTCTCTCCCTCTCTAAATAGCCGGATCCTACTGAAGCGGTGAAGTAAATGGGTCAACCCGAACATGTCACCCAGTTCACTGTGGACCCTACTCTTGCAGGAAATGCTTATCCCGAAGAGAATATTCCGTTTCTCTCTCTATTTATTTTTTTTCCTATTATTTTCTTTCCCATTTGATATAATTTAATATTAGCTCGTTACTGCAGAAATCCAAAGTATTTCGTTTTCAATTTTTTTCATATATTAGTTAGGTCAAGTGACCGATAAATGGTAGTTGAAATTAATATTTGACTCGATTTAATTATCGATTTATAAATTGTATCTAATCGAACAATTAATATTGTTGAACATTTAATATGTGCGCTAATAATTTAAACGACAAAGTAGATCTATACCTCTTTTTTCCATCTTCAAAGTTTCTCAAGAATTATTTTTATTCTTAGACAACAGACATTATGAATTTTATGTCAACTAAGTATTTCTAATATTTTTTATTGTACAATTTATCTATAAGTTGAATAATCTTTCAAATATTTCATTATTATTTTTAAAATTTTGGCGTGAATTAATAATCTTGTTGTTACATATACTACACAACAATGTCGGATATTCAATTTTTGTAACGATAAAAATCATTGGATCGTGTGATCCTATATTAATTGAATGTACCTTAATCATTTTATTGTCGTATTATGACAAATTTTAACTACTCGACAAGTTCGGATATTCAACGTCTTCGTTAAAAGATGTAACTTGTCGGGTTGTGTGGTCAAATCTTTCTTAAATAAACTCTTAGTAAGATATTTTTTGCCGTTGACCCATATCTTCTGACACACCGAACAATCCAATAATTCTAGACATTCTGTTTGTTCGATAGAACGGTATAAACTGTCATGTCATATGATTAATATCTTTAATTCCTAAATATGGAAAAGTTTTGTGTTAAAATTTCTATTTCATCTTTAATCTTGTAATATATTTAATCTCTAATACTCATAAATGTAACTTTCTTTTTAGAAAAAAATGAAATCCAAAAGGAATCTTAAGGGTGTGTTTGATAGATATTATTGAGGAAATAATGTATTTTAAATAGTGATATGATGAGAAATATGTGGTTAAAAATTAAGGAAAAATTATTGGTGTGATGAAAAATATTATTTTATTGAAGAATGTGTAGTTGAAAATGAGTTTTGAAAGAATGTATTTTGA